GCAGGACTGTGCACATGAACAGGGGCAGGAGGATTGGGTCTCTTGTCTTCTAGTCCGTTCTCTTTGATCCTGCAAGTGTACTCTCTGCCAAGGTCACATCAGGCTGCAAAGGCACTTTTTGCAACTCTGTATGGTCTGTGTCTGTCCTTTATTTATTCAAAATGCGTTTGCCTCTACAATTTAATCTGCTGTTCTCTCCCTCCCCTTCCTCTTGGTGAAGTCTAATTACAGTTTTATTCCAGGTCCATCTGGTTGCTAACGATGCTGGACATCACCACTGAATTCATTCTAATATTTGTTGTGTATTTTCTAGGCTGGACGCTGAATAATAATATTCTCTGAATTTGCTTTTGCTCCTGTTTCCTTTCTCCCTGTTGTAGCTAATTGCATAGTAATGTGTAGCCATGGGACGATTACTCCTCCCTGTGTAGTTCTACTAAGAGTTGCCTATTTCAGGCTGCAGAATAAAGAGGTTTTTTTCTGGTTTTGAGGAGATTTCAAAGTCCTCTCTACCAGCTCCCTTCACTGGTGTGGAACCAGATGGGCAGTGGCTTTTTCTGCTTCATCTTTTTTTTTTTTTTTTTTTTCATTTTTCCTGCCCCGAACATTACGCAGTTTATAACTGTGAATCTCAAAGCATCCTGGAGGCAGTGTTTCAGCATTTAGAAAGACACTTTTTGCCATGCTCCATGTGACGGTTGAACCCAGAGTAATTTCAGGTTCCCAAGCCTGGCTTGTGCAGTGTCAGTGCTGGGATTTTTAAATTTTTTTTTCTTTTCTCCTTTTTGCTTTCTGCAACGCTGCCTGGGAACACAGACTCACACTTTACCCATGACCTGACTCTCTGGCTAAGAATAGCAGTCACAGTGCAACTTGGGTTCAGTCTCACTGGAGACATGCTGCAGCTGGGAAACAGGGAGGTCAGATTAGCCCATGCTCACAAAACCAAACATGTAAAAGGAGTACGGAGGATTTTGTATGTTTGCCTCCTTTTAAGACTGCAGAACAAAGGGAAGAGGTTGGCACAGGTGTTCACTGAGCCAAGATAAGTTTTCTTTGCTCGTGACATTGACTTGGACAGGAAGTTTACATACAGAAGCTTGCCTCCTGGGCTGAACAGGACCTTTTCCAAACGGGTTCTGTATCTTTATGGCCCATCCAGCCAAAAATCATGCAGGATGGGGACGGCAAGCAATGCTGATTAGCATTTCCTGAGCCCTGCTTAGGACAATGAGATGGTTGAGATAGCCCCCGAAGTAATTCTGCCCAGCAAAATGAAGGTATGAGTTCAGCACATGTTAGCAGATGTGCCATAGCTTGTCCTAGACATCTGATGTTGCAGAGATGCTGTGGCACTATCTTTAGCATGAGTGAGCAACAGGTCTCACTCACAGCACATGCTAAAGCCGACTGCTCTCGTTCTCACCCCTTCCTGGTGGGATGCGCCAGCACATTCACACCTTTGTTTTGTGGTGCAGACGTGCTTTCAGAGTAACAAAAACACCAGTCCTGCTCTGTAGTTTTAAGATAGGAGCTAAAGCATTAGCAATAGAAACTGTTAGGCTAATCACTGTTGTAATACTCATTGTGGCCGGGTAAAGATAAAGGTGACAACCAGTGAGGTTTACATAGCACATCCCCAGCTCAACTGTGCCCTCTGCTCCATCGTGATGCGGCAGCCAGCCGTTCCCAGCGCCAGCACAGCATTACATCTGGAATGTGGACTGGTGGATTGATATTCACACTGGCAAAGGGGAGCTGTTTTTTGAGAGAACCGTATGACACCACTCCTGTTCTCTTCCCCCAGCCAAACCTAAGCCAAACAGGGAAGGGTGCTGTGTTGCTAGGAACCGGAGATGTCTGGAGGAGCTGGTCCTGCAAGCCCTACTCCTGTAAGCAGCCATGTTCAAAGCGCTCTATGTGGCTTCCCTTCGCCCCCCGTCCCAGAGTCGGAGGGGAGGGGTGGCTGCCCTGGGATTGCATTAGCTGGATAGGGGCTGCTCACATAAGTCAGGGGTCCCAGGACTGGGCTTACAGCTTGAGACGCAACAAGTAGACTTAAGAGGAAAACCCCTTGAGCTATCAGGGCAGTAATTCTAATGGTAATTTTGAACTGTTTTTGTCTGTCTAACATTCCTTTTTAATCCCCATCCTGCCTGCCCCTTCCTTATGTAGGGTTACTTTAGTGATCCTTGGAATGTTTTTGACTTCCTCATCGTAATTGGCAGCATTATAGACGTCATTCTCAGTGAAACTAATGTGAGTATTACTCTACCCTCCCCAGGATACCACCACCTCCTCCTCCTCTGCTGTTCCTTCTCTCTTTCTCTCTTTCTTTCTCTCTCTTTTTTTTTTCTGGTTTTTTTCCCTCTAGTCATGCTTTTACTGAACTTGCCGTCGTCCTTCTCCTTCTCCCAGGGAAAAAAAAAGGAGGGGGGGAAATGCCTCCTTCTTTTTCACTTGTCATAGCTCGCCCCAAGGCTGTGACTGGTGAAAGCGCACAGAGTTTGGGGTGTGTGTGCTTTTTTTCCCTCCAAAAGGTAGACATGCTTGAGTGTAACTTTCTGACTAACCAGGCTTTTGTTGATACCCTCCATCATGTGAAACGTTTCAGAGGTTTGAGCAACCAATACTGTAGAGTGGTAAGAGACTATTTAATATGCCCACGTAACCTCTTTCTTTTCTTATTTTTTTCCTCTTCTCTCCCTCTTTCATGCTTTGTTTTGTTTTGTTTTGTTTTTTGTTTTATTTTATTTTACTTTTTACTTTTTTCCCCTCTTTTCTCCCTTTCCCTCTCTCTCCCCCTCCTCTCTCTCTCTCATTCTTTCTTTCTCTTCCTTTCTCTCTCTCTTTCCTTGGCTTCCCTGCCACATGCAGCACTATTTCTGTGATGCATGGAATACATTTGACGCCTTGATTGTTGTGGGTAGCATTGTTGATATAGCAATCACCGAGGTGAACGTAAGTAGCTGGCGTCTGTCCATGATCGTGCCTGCTCTAACATTCATTTGTCTTTCCCGGGTTCTTTTTTTTTTCCCTCCCCCTTCCTCCTTCCTTTTGAGTTTTTCAGAGCTTTTTGTTTAGTTTTGAAGCTCTTTTTTTGTTTTGTTTTGTTTTCTTTTTACTCTGTTTTAATTTTTGGAACGACTTAAAGGACTTTTTGACTGTTGCATCATTTTCTTCCCTTCATAATCCGCCTGGCATGAATTAAACTGTATAGCAGGAAAAGTGATGGGAAACGTGGAGTGTAAGTGAAAAGGCTATTTGTGCTATGGGAAGCTGCTAGAATAGTCCCAGGCCAGCACTTTGGTCTACCCAGTGTTATGCTTTGCTTCCCATGGCAGTTCAATACTCTCCACCCCACAGAGATCTAAAGGTCAGTTCTTTCGAGGTGGAACTGCGGGAACCAAACCAGGAATCCTCCCTGTGCCTCCTCACCCAGGCTTCCTCCAAAAGAAATAAAGACCAAATCATCTCTGTTTAGAGGAACCTGCTCCTAATGTTCAGTTTCTAATTTGAAAAAAAGGTAGATAAAATAAAAACAAAACAAAAGAAAACAGAAAGCCCAAAGAAAAACTAAGCACCAGTTTCCACACAGTTTTTTGGGTTTGCAACCCGGTTTGCTCCATCTCACAAATTCCACCAGCACAATTGACACTGATTGGCCCCACTGGTGCCCATCTCAGCAGACAGGTGAAGGATTGAATGAGCCACGGGGACTGAAATGAGCAGCTGGTGTTCAAGGAATAAATCACATCAGGCAAACTTTTTCCACTCTTTGTTTGGAGGTGGATGGATATAGAATTACAGGATAAATAGACAAAGGACAGGCAGGAAGCACACAGATTCCCAACAGAAAGATTACAAAGGACCCACTGGGTTTATGAGCACGGACAAAAATTGCACTGCAAAATCCACCTTAGCGAGGCCAGGAAAATAGAAAGATCGAAAGAAAATTGCTGTAAATATGTTAATGAAGAGCAAATCAATCATGAATTTGCAAAACGATGTGGCTGTTGAATAAACATTCTAGCTTGGAGTTGTTGTGTACTGTAAAGGCAATCCATCACAAGCAGAAAAGTGACAGCATAGTTTTCACTCATTGCTGTGTTTAGGGAAAAATGTAGGCAACATTTTGAAAAAACCAAAATGCCTTACTTTGAACTTTCCAAACAAAATGTTTTCATATCTTGGTTCCAGTTTAATTTCTGTTCAACTTAATTTTTTTAAATTCTGAAACAGGGACATTTATGCAAGTTGTAATATTTTGATGTAGAATAAATGAAATATTTTATTTGACACTAGTCTATTTTCTTCATCTTTTGAGAGAATGGAAAACAGTTTCTAACTGAAAATGAAATTTTATTTTACATCCCTTAAATGTCCTACTTTCTGGACGCAAAAAATTGTTTGCAACATTTCCCCCAGAATGTTGTAAACAATTTTGGTTACCCTTTTACTAGACAGATATTAGGGTTGGGCTGACTTTGTAGAGAGAAGTTACAATGATCAGCAGGCTGAGGTTGTTAATTTTAAAGAATGAAATGAAAGCCTTTTTTATGCCACGCTTGTCACAGGAAAACTAAATGGAGAACCTGGCAATAGCCTTCAGATTGTGGAAAAGATCAATTCTCATCATAGAGGCAGAACTGTACATGGTAATTGAGAAAGTAAGTACAGTTAACTGGAGATGAATTATGCTAAACATTAACAAGACTTTCCTGACTGATGTATTTGAATCCGTACAAAAGCCTTCCAAGCAGAAAGCAGGGAAATCCTTGTGTTTTAATAAATAAATGGAGGTCTATCATAGTCAGAAACCGTGTACTGGAGGGAAAATATAGTGGATCCTTTTGAAGAAATTCACAGTAATTTCCTATAAATTAAAGAACTTTTTACGTCATGGTTTAAGACACTTAAACATCTCATTAAACTTTAGTTGTCTGAGAGGAAGACATAATCACCCAGGCTTCCTCTTAGAGTTAGTGGAGAAAAATGCACACCTCCCCAGGCCAACCGGTGCCTCTCTGTGCACGTCTATGACAGGGGAAATGAATTGCTCTTTGGAGGTGCCCATCCAGTGACTGCAGAGCGTCTAGGTTTGTTAGGTTTGTCTAGACACCCAGCTCTCTGACGCTAAATTTGAGCAGGATAAATCGCAGGATAAATTCTCAGCATGTTATCGAGAAGGTCACGCTGCTGCTAATTGTGCTGTGCTCAGATCTTCAGTCTCCAGGGCTATCCATACTGGTGTGTTTAATTATCACCGACAAGGCTCCCTCTTTTTTCCGTTCCCTGTCTAAATTTGAGTTCATGTCAGAGAAGGCCCAGGATCCAGTTTTGGGTTGTAGAAGTCTGTGAAAAACGAGGGTGTGCCTCTGTCCAAACAGCCATCACCTGTCTTAGTTGAGGAGGCAGCAGAGGTGGCCCTGACTCTTTTAGTTAGGGTTATGAACAGCATTTCATGATGGTCCCTCTGTTTCCTCTAAAGAATCCTTTCCTTCTATACAGTTTTTACAGATTTCTGCACACGTCTTTTTGTTACCTGGCATGTTTAAATCTTCTCTTTTTATCTAGGCAAGTCCTTTGCTACTAGTTTCTAATGTTTGTTACTAAAAACTTGCACAATTTTTCGATGCACTGATAAATGAGCAGCAGCTATGGATGGAGTTTGTTTTGAAATGTTCTGAAATCCCTTTGCACTTATAACCCTTATTGAACAAGAGAATGTTTTGTATGTTGGTTTGTCCTGTCAGATTCCCTTCCTGCTAGCAGCACTTGATATGTTACATCTGTAGCAGATGGGCTTTGGAAGTAGCAGCCCATCTTGGATGGACAGTTGTCACCTTCCCAAGCAGTGTGAGGCAGTTTATCAGATACAATTCCCCCCTTCTCCCCAGGAGCTTGTTGCTTTCTTGCTGTTTGTGGGTTTGAGCAAACCCTGCCTTGTGTTTCTGTACACTGTCTTGTCTTGTTCCAAGAGACCTGGAGTCTGAAAAAGAAAGAAAAAATAAACCCTAAAATGCCAATAAACTCCACTAATTGGAGATGTTTAGCCTGGTCAGGTGCAGGTAAGATGTTTCTACCCTCTCCTTAGAAGCTGAAGAATGTTTGTGGTAGGGTCTTGGAAGGTGCTGCTCTTGGAGCAAAGGGACAGTTTCCATTGTGGTCAGTTAGGGAAGATGGAGAGACCTGGAACAGGTCAGTTTGATATGTGGCCATAGACATGTAAGCCTGAAATCTCTGTGAGGGTCACCAGACGTTTGCACTCAGGGGAAGCATACCCAGCAGGTGCTGAGCTGCGATAGCTGTAGTGCAGCGGGACCTTGACTGAGAAGCTCCACAGTGTGCGTGTAGGTATGCGCTTGCATCTATTTGTGCAGTTCCCCATGCTCTGTTTTTTCCTTTTAACAATTATTTTAGTTTCTTGAAAAGGAATTTCCCAGACCAAAACCTTCATTATGATATATGTGAGTGTGCATGGGTGGGTCTTTGTGTGTGCACTCCATTGGTTGTAGTATATGTTCCTGAATGTGTTTGGATGCCTGCGTATGGGCTACAAATCCATGGGAGAGTGTGCAGACACGAATCTGGGGGCAGGGGAAAGAGAGTGTGTTTGCAAGCATACGTGTTTCATACGTGTTTGTGTTGTGAATGGTTGTTGATGGAGACACACGGGTTGTTGTGTATGTAACTGAGTCTATGAACATGTTTTCTGAGCCAACGTGGCTACCTTACCGTGCAAGTTTGATCTGCTTATGGGTGGGTGTTTATATCTGAGAGTTTCCTGTATGCAGGCATGTTCATCTGCATGCCTCTGGGTGAGTGTACACTTGCATGTCAAGCTCAGCATATTTTTGTTAGCATGGCTGTGCATTCAAAAATAGAGAGAAGGCATGTACTCATGAGGTAGGCCCCCAGCTTGCCTTCAGCATTTCTGAGTCCTTTAGGAAGCCTCCACTTAAAACACCTCCATGGTGTGGAGATATGTCAAGTGATAAGTCCAATTGCATCACATTAGGCCCACTTGCTTACTGCAACTTGGGAACATCTGCCAAGTCCCCCCAACAAGCTCCACAGACACACGGAGATGCATCTTACACAACTAAGTGCAAAGAGCACAGGGCAGGTTAAAATCTGGTGGGTTTAAAAACCAGTGTGACACAGTTTCTGCCGAATTCACTTTTAAATTGCCTTACTTTCAAGCTGCATTTTCAGAGCTTTATTTCTCAGTAAGTGTTACACAACTAACTTCCTAGCCACAAAATGAAGATTTTTTCAAAATTTTCTGGAAATATTCAGTGATTCTATTTTGGGTCACTATTAAGCCACTTCTTAAGTAACTAAAGAGGGAGGGGAGGACTTTTTAATCTGCTATTAAAAAAAGAATTTCCGAGGCAGAGAACACATCTACCATGTGTCAACTCTCTGTAAGTGCGAAGACCAAGAATGACATTTGGGGAATAAGGTGAAAGATGATGTAAGATATGGGACCTGGGAGGTAGGACCTGTGGGTTGTATTCCTTGGACTTTGACTAGATCCCTATACCTCATTCTCCCCATTAGTAAATTGGAGATTGTTATTATTCCCTATGTTAAGAAAGCATTGTCATTAGTGTTTACAAAACACTTTAAGTTCCTTAGAAGAAAACATTAAGGTGGTAAAAATTATTACTATCTATTATAATAATAACAGGAAAGGAACTGTTATAGGAGTTGAATAAAAGCCAGCAAGTTTGGAATATGTCATCCCAGAAGTAGCCCCAGGCACAGGCTTGCATTTCCTTCCTTTCCACATCAGCAGACACAGCCTGGAGTTGAGTGCTGTGAAGCTGACTGACAGCCTGCTGTCCCCTCCTCCAGGCAAAGAAAGTTACTCATTACTATTTGTTGTGCTTTATCAAAGGGGGAAATCAAGTTCGATTTGTGCTCTCTGCTACGGTGCCCAAAGTGATGAAAGA